AATATTGTGTGATTCAGATGAGATATATAGACATTTCTCTAGTGAGAGCAGATACTTTACCGCTAAGTCTCTTGATTTTCCTTTCAGGATATTTTATTCGGAAATAGAAGCAAGGAGTTCTCTCATCATGGCGCAAAATAAAGAGCTAAACATGTTGAACAGATTCCCTGAAAATGTGACTCTTAAAGATTTATGCGATTAGACTATATCTTGCCACATAGTGCTTTTGGATTGTTGATTTTGATGGATTGTAATTTCAATTGCTCATTTTGGGGATTGTTACTTTTGGCGGATAGTGGTTTTTGTTATTCATCTTTTACTTTGAATCATTTCATTGCTACCTATATTATTTTGCTAGAAAACAATGAAATCGGAAAAAGGAACAAAAAAAAATAGGTTCTCGGGTAGACCCTAAAACCGGACCGGAAAAATAGGGTCGGTTCCAAAACAGGGTCCAGGAAAAATAGGGTTGGTTTCAAGTTCAAAAAATTGGGAACCGGTTATAACAGGGTTGGTTTCAGGTTCTAGGTCTGGACCCAACCCACCTTGGAACCGATCACCCCTACGCCCTAAGTCGTTTCAAGTCGAAGCTGAAGGTATTGGAACTTTTTCCTCCATTACATTTTCTGTTCGATGAATTTTCAGTTCCCTGCTGTTTTCTTCCCCCACAGTGTCCACTTGTTTTTGCGTTCGGCTAATGTGTCCACCTATATTCTAGTGTTATCAGGACTGGTTTTGGCCGGCATTCCTCTTCATCCATCTCAAGGACACATTAGCAGCCAAGAAATCTCAGTTCCTCTTGCATCCTTATATTGAAGCCACTCCTGGTGGTATGTGTGTCATTATATATCTATTTTTCGTGTGCTATCAGCTCTTGTTTCATGTTCATCCTCTTTGTTTCGTAATCTGGTTCTATCAATTAAAACGTTGATAACATAAAAGCCAAAAAAAAAAAATTAATCAAGAAGAAGAAACAAATGGGTGAAAAAACTGCAACATAAACTCGTTCCAGAGATTCGACCAAAAAAAACTCATTTCAGAGGCACCAATATTTGTCTCTCTAAGCTTTAATATGTCTCTAAAATGGTAATTGTATGACATCATGTTCCACCATCTTCTTGTTTGTAACGTAATTTGTGACTTGAAAATAATAGGGTGAACTTTGACAACTAGCGAGTCTCTGGTCATAGATATTGTAGCTAGAGCAATATCATATAGAGGAGGGTAAATAGGTGATTTTAAAACAGCTTGAAATTTTAATGCAGAAGTAAGACAATCAAGTTGAATATTATCAAAGTCGAGTGAAACCAGAGTCTAAATATTGATGGTGATATGATGATATTCGCAAGTGCACAAAGTTCTATAAAAAAAATAAACTAGAGTTTTAGAGATAGAAGAAATTGCACATAGAGTTTATAGTGGTTCAACTTAGAGTAAGCCTACTGGCTGAATTTCGCTAGTCAATTAATAAGAGGTTACAACCGTGAGTGATAATACTAAAGCATATGATATGTTTCACTATCTCACTCTTTTAGTGTCTCTCAAAAATTACAATTTGTAGCTTAGAAGGACATGTATGTAAGATTGAAGTTCTCTTGCACTTTGAAATTTATGATTATGGAGCTCTCTATTCTCTTCGGCACTTTGGTCTCCTTTTATATTCCTCAACTTTTGAACGACCCGCTGGATAGTCTTCAGAGGATCAATCTCCAATCAACCCATTGGACGAGATTACATAAAAAAGATTGAGTAGCCGTTTGAGAGATAAGATCTAAATCCCGTTGATTTGGTCGCTCATACAAGCAAATCTCAAGTTTCAAAAATTAGAATTCTTCGATTAAGGATGGTAACTCGTCTAAGAAGTGATTGCCGATCAATCAAAGATGTCTTGCGTGAAAGATTTTGTTGCAAAACAATCTTTAAGATCGAAGATTAACACTTTCTTTAAAGGAAATCCAACCCAAATTACTGGCCGTGATGATTTTTTTAAGTGAAATACTTTTCTTGTGAAAAGGACCAAATTGACTAATAGAAGCTTCAAAAGAGTCCATACGGTGAAATAAAATAGGCTTGTTATCTATTACAATAATAGTGGAAGTTCCTAACTACGAGCCGTCCATTAGCCCTTACAATTATGTTTTGACTTAATTATGCCTCATAACTCCTTTCTTGACGAAAGGTGTCTCCAATCTAATTAGTGTTGTTGCCTTATAACTTTTCAAAGTGTTTCGAAAAATTAAGGTTTTTTCTATATTCGATTCCCAATAGATTACGCAGCAAATTTGTTCAACTTTTAGGAACCATCATCGCGGATTTTCCTATTTCTCTTTGTACAAAAATGCTTTAAAAAAGTATTTGATTCGCTACACCTATGTTGTCTATCACGAAATAAAGGATGAGCATGGGCGCAGACGCCTCCTAATTTTTTAGTGAGAAATCAATTTTCTTATCCCATCTACAAAATTAGGGGCAAATTTAATGATATTTATGCAAGTAGGATTTGTAAAGTTGACATTTAAGAGAATATTAAAACGGACTATCAAATGAGAAATTAAAATTTTGATGAAAATCTATTATATCCATCTAACCATGTGCCAAAAAAATAAATAAAAACAAATTGCGTGGAGAGCAACATATCGCTCCAAGGTTCCTTACCTCGCTCACAAAGTACACGAAGTGGAGATCCAACAGAGTGCGAATTTATGTGAAGCTTAGTGCGGAGAAAAATTAAAGATTGTACAAGAAGCACCCACACAACTCCATTCTTGATTCCGCCTATTAAAAAATAAAAAAATTATAAAAATTATCCACGTCGGCCCGTACTGTCCCCCAACCATGCCATATAGGACAATTGGTGCCGACTAGATCACCACGTTAGCAATTTCCGATCGAAATTGACTGAAAGGATTAAATTGGTAAATGATTAAAGGTTTAGGATTAAATCGGCCAAATTGAAAAGTTTAGGATTAATTTGGCACAAGCATAATAGGTTTAGAATTTTTTGTTTTGGTAAATTTCCTATTATGAATGATTGTATGCTAATATGAATCAAGGCAAAATGTAAACCTCACACTCATACAAAATTGCTTAGCTCTTCCCTCTTACAGTGATTGAGAGTCGAATTGACATTGACCTTACCCATCAACTTATTAAAAGACGTGTGTGTCACGGGCCGGCCCGTGACACACACGTCAAGCGTCAAAAGTCATCCAAGCTTCGTCCGAGATATTTCCACAAAATTTCCAACACAGCTCGACTTTAGCAAAATTTCTCAACCAATCCATCATTCTCGAAGCATAACTATTCAACATCTTGTAAAAGTTGCTAGTAAAGGAGATGATTAAGTGGCTCTTAAAAAATAGCATCATGAAAAAGTTAATTTCCAGTATGAACAACTTGACTCTAACATGAGAATTGATTTTTTTTGGGCAAGACCTAAGTGTTGATTAACACGTCTTTTAGCAAAAGACCAATTATCCTTGAAGTCTTTGGGAGAGGGTATTCTTGCCAATGTAGTGGAAGGGATTGATTTGCTGGGTCTTGGACAAAAGGTGAGGGTGAAAGAAAGTAAATTTGACTAGTTGGAGAAATGCAATCCATCACAAGATCTCGTATATCCCAAACAAATCTAATTTATCTTTTAGGGCAAGAGAAAAAGTGATGTCCACTACCAACACCTTGCAAAAGTTAAGTAAAGGAGATGATGATTTCCACTATCGACGCCTTGACTCTGACATAAACTATCGATCATTTCATTTAGTGGGGCAGGGAGAGCCCACTTTCATTTTCATTTGCATGGCCAGCCGATCCAATTACAAAGACAACTGACAAAGTATCTTTGAATTCTAGAGTGGGGGGTATTCTTGCCAATTCATTTTTAGTTTATTACATATGGTTTAATTATTATATACGGAGCTTGTCAAAATTTTATATGATAAACATAACATTGATTGGAATGATTGATAGTATGATATGATTATCATGTCAGATATGAATGGATCTTTGCGGAATATCCGTTACATCATATAAATAGGTGAAAGTTTTGCTACCCCTCAAATATCTCCTATCTCATTATAATTAATGAAGATAATTCCTATCACTTTATAATTGGTGAGAATAAATTTTAAATTAAGAATTGCAGTAAGCTTCTGAAAGAGTTTTTGAAGGGGTTTTAGTATTTTATTTTATAAAATTCTCACGATAAATATTTATTAACTAGCACATATTTTACATATTATTAAATACTAAATAAATGATAAAAATCAATTAGAAAAAGTAAACAAAAAAAGTTGCCTATGATCTAAAAAGAGTTATAAAACAAAAACACGTGTCTTACTTCGCCAAGAAAAATGAGATACATAAATATTAAATTAGCATCTAATAGACCTAGCTACATTTAGTGATAATAACTAAGATTTCGATATCTCTCCCTCAATTAGGGTTTGTGATTTTTTTAAATTTTCTAATAATTTTATTCCAATCAACCAACAAATTCCGTGTCACCTTTAATTTATTTGTTTAGCACCGTCATGGCGCGATGGTAGCCATGAAAGCATTTTTGTTTTGCAATTTTAACAGAAGGGCATACTTGAGTAAAAAAGCAAATAGTTTAGATATCACATAGATAAAAAAAAAAAAAAGAAATACAGGGCGACATTAAACACATGAAAAAACTACAGCAGGGATGGATTCATTATCCCTAAATTTTTTGCCCAAATTATATCAAGAGAGTTTTCCAAGAAGTTTTGTTTTATACGAGGCAAGCGGCCTAATGACCGCGTCAAAGTTAAGTGCTAATAAAGTGGTGATTTAACGCGGCAAAAGCAAAATAAAGTTATGTAAAGTGTCTAAAGTGGTGATTTAATGTTTTGTGTCTATAAAGTTGAGATATTTGTTTTCTTGTTTTTGTCCGATGGTCACCTGCAATTATTGATCTGGGCAAGATGGACAAAACTGAAGCTACGAATTCTAATTCCCCACCATTTCTAGATGTCCTTCATTTTGATCCGCCTGGTCACGCGGTCCAATTACAAAGGGCATTCTCGCCAATTTAGGGGAAGGGATTATTTTGCTGGTCTTCGACAAAAGGTAAGAGGGTTAAAGAAGTAAAATTGCCTCATTAAAGATTTCCTATATCTTAAGCCCATGTGGTTCATCCTTTGGGGCAAGAGAAAAGGGAAAGCTTTGTTCAAGTGCAGGGACTAGTAGAGCTTGAAGAAGAGAAACGCATCGGTAAGAAACACCGCGCCAATCACGAGAAATCCAAGGAGACGCTGCTCTTTGTTCTGAGATATTCTGCTTTGATAAACTCCAGGTTCACGACGAATCACCGAGGCGTGAAGGTAATCAAATCCTCCGTTTGTACGGCCTTCTGGGCACTCGGGAACAACTCGATCTTTTCAAAGGTAACTTGTTCTCAAACACAAAATCCGTTTTACAGTAAATTTATCACTGTGCTGCTCCTCCAGAAAAGCCCAACCTTCATTCTTTAGTTCAATACCATCGATATAAATAAGACACTTAAAAAAAATACAGATCCCCATTTCGAAATTGTCATCACATATATTGCTTATTTTTCTTATTACATTCTTTTCATTAAAACCGGTTGGTATAAATTGTTGGATATGTTGAACCCAGTAGTATAGCATTTTGGCCCTCACTCCACGGTTCCATACCTCGCACACAAAGTGCATGAAATGGGGATTCGACGGAGTGCAAATTTATGTGAAGCTAAATACGGATAAAAATACAAGATTGCAAGAAAAATATAAATTCTATTGAAAATGTAAATTGCGAGAAAAGCAAATTGATGTAATGAAAAAGTAGATACAAACGTAGATTGTAGGTTTGCTTGATTGTCGAAATGGAGAGCTTTACACCTCTCTTGCAACTTCCAACTTTAAGGACGAATACTAAAACGTGCAACTTCCCTGTACATCTCTAAAGCTACAAGTTCTTTATGCTTCTTGGCCGAGTTTCTCCATCAGATCAACTAAGTCAATTCATTTCATTCTTTTAAGGCTACAAGATAACAAATTATCAAAGTGAGAACGAACGTTACATCAAACATAGCCAAAATTGACATATTAGTAAAAATTGGATACCAACAATTTACTATAAATGTTTTTGTATTAGCCCACTTTTGTTTGTGTCGACATGTGTTCGGTTCGTATTTGATAATCTTGAACTGTGTAACATTCACTAGACTATACTATATATTTCCTTGTTTGCGCATTTGCTCGAATCAACGAAGTCAATCTGTGTGATTTTTTTTTGTTACTTATTAAAAAAGACTGAGGGAACTAGTGTATCTTGCTTATCAATTACTGACAAGAAAGTTTTTTGTTTTTTTTTTTTTGGGGGTGGGGCGTGGGTTGGAATCTGAACCCTTTGGATCTCCTCTTTGTAAATGCCGAACTTGCTGATTAGTTAGCGAATTTAACTTGCTCCTGTGAACTGGGGCAAGGTGGTCCTAGAAATTTTTTTTTGCAGTCTAGCTTGGTCGAATTGCATATTCAACTTAGCTACACCGAGGGACCACCCTTCTTTTACAATTTCTTTTTTTTTCTTATTAAAGAAACGCCTTTCAATTGGCCGTAATTAACCTTGACTTAACTATTTCTTTAAACATTTTTGCAGCGATTTTTCAACAACAAACCTTGTTAACAATGGCATTTTTCTGATCGCTAGTAGTTAGCATGGTCTATCGAAGCTTAGATAATAATTTACCTTACCATAAAAAATATGTTGCTCTTGTGAGTCAAGCCAGACTTGCCCTCGAGCATCAGGCTGAGCCAATGACAACGATTTATAGTAGTTCGGCCCAATCAACGCCTACTCCACTTCTCGAGACCATTCAAGAGTTAAGCCCATTCCACTATATTTGAAACCTTTGTAAAACCTCATACAAAGGTTGGTTTACAATGGAAATAAAACTCTACAAGCAAGGTGAATTCATTTACAAACAATTTCTCTCGTGAGAAGTTGATTTGCAAAGTGAATACAAGAGAGGATTTTGTAAGTACTTTCATGTACACACATGCCCAAGACAATGGGCTACCTTTTTTTCGGAAAATAAATTCTCCCGACTAATTTCCATCAGTGGCAATAGTCCCCGAGTTGTTACTAACACTTCATGACTAGTTTTTTTACCATCGAGACTGCCAAATGACCACTTAAACTCAAAAATGGCCCAAACACTGGCTGGGTTGGGTGAGCGAAATTCAAATTTAAACTATAGAGCCAGGTATTTAGCCAAACCTAACTGGCTATCCTGCCATTGTTTAGCTGGGTACCTAGATATGTTTTTAGACAAGCTCGGTCTTCTTTAACCCTTTCCAAACTGCACAAACTTGCAGAAAACATATTCAAGTAATTTACAACGATTAGAAATATACAAAAAAGAGTTTTGGAAATTAGGTTCATCAGTGACAACTTGTAAATAAAAGGTGCGACTTAAGATTATGGTTGACTGCCAAAAATTTAAATATGATAAATGTAACCTTTTGACAGGCTAATCTATTATATGAATTGGCAAAAAAAAATCTAGTATATTAAAATAACATATAAGGTAACAACCGAGGGTTTTGTGATGGCTTACGTGAGCTTTCATCTTCACTAATGAGTAATGATACTAAGAAAAGAGGATATAAGTGCGAGGATGTGACTATCCTACAAAATTTTGTTTATGAAATCATATTTTTAGATACTTTAGCTTCTATTAAGTTATGTGAATAAAAAGGTGCATATCTATTTTTCTTAACACGACTGATACTAAGATCTTGAATTAGCCAATTAATATGATACTTCTATTTATATATAGAATAATATATAATAATGAGGTACCTGTCTATTTTTAAATTGCAAGTTGTTTGTTGATGAACAATGAGCACACGTATTTGTGTTGCGTGCTTGTGTGCGTGAGAGAGAGAGAGAGAGAGTGAGTTTGGACAATGCATACTTTGCTCAAGTCAAAAAGTAGAGTCAGTAATACTCAATGTAAAAATGGCCTCGTGCCATCCCATTACAATTATGATGAATAGAAAAGCTACATTAAAGAATTAACAATCTAAGCAAAGCAGTGTTTTATGGACCCGAATTACAAACTTAGAATTTTGGAAAATTTAATCCACCTTTTTTTTAGAAAAGAAGATTAGAGAAGCAACAGTGGGGAACAAAAAGTATGGGTAATTGATGATTAACTGATTTTCAAACAAGAAGGATATTTTAGTCACTCAACAAAAAACATAGAAGATGAAGAGATGAGATGAGAGAGAAAAAAGTAGGGTGAAGTGCTAGGGAAGGCTCGCCTATGCTCGGGAACAACTGAAAATGAGCGCCGGCGAGCCTCGGCCCGCCGAGACTCCAAAAAATAGAGCAAAGGGGGAGCCGAAACAGGGGGGCTTGGTGGCGTCGTCCCCATCTGGCTCGGCGGTGGCAAATGAGGGCGAGCTCGATAGATCGGACTATGTCCGGTCGCCTGGCACGCCTCTAAGCCGGAATCCTCGGGGAATCGACCGCTAATCAAACAAAACGAGACCCCATGAGAGCTCAGGGCCGAGACCCACCGTGACGTTATCGCTGGAAAGGAGATGCGCCGGAGGGTCATCAGCCGCAGCTAAGGCGTGGCGGTCACCGACGAAGGGCTCTTCAATCTCGGATTTCTCTCTCGATTCCGATCTCTCTCTCTCTCTCTCTGCTCTCTCCTCTGTTTTTCGCTCTCTCGGTTCCAATGGCTCCCCCCTCTCACCTTCTGTTTTGGCCGCCCTTTCAGGCTGGCCGGCACGCCCGGCCGCAATCCTGTGGCGGCCGGCCTGGCCCCGACCCTAAGATCGCTCCGGGCGACCCTCTGCCACACTCCGCGCCCCTCTGCCTTCCCTACTCCGTCCCTACCGCTGGAACTTCCCGCTTCATAGGCGATGGGGAAGAAAGAGGAACAGTATGCGGGCCGGGCCAAGGGAAAGGGAAGATGGGCCGGCCCGCGTAAAGAAAAGAAAAAGAAGGGTTGGGCCGAGCCTAGCCAGGAAAGGAGATAAGGGCCGGGTCGACCCGGCCCGACCCGGCTAGCCCCCCCTTTTTTTTTAAAGGATAAAATTCTAATAAATCCTATTACTATTAATGCAAGTTCTCCTAATACTTATATGTTTATGCAATTTAACGAAAATCATTTTTATTTAGGGGTTAGAAATTAATCCTTAATTTTCTATATAATTAAACCCTAAATGAATAACCAAAATTTAGGTGCCAACATATTTGATTCTTTTTTTTCCTCATTCTAATTTTATCAGGATAATGGAAGTCCTTAAGATTATTCTAAATTGCTCTTGCTGATATTCCTCAAACTCTCCTGTTTATATACATTGCTCTTGCCTCTCTCTCTCTCTCTCTCTCTCTCTCTCTCTCTCTCTCTCTCTCTCTCTCTCTCTCTCTCATATCTTTGGTTTTGTTTCAATGTTCTCATTGTTTTATCACTTTGTTCTTCCTTTCTTTTCATACATAGAGTGATTAGTTATGTTCTCTCTTCAGTTTCCTTCGGGCCCATTTGTTTAAGCAAAAACAAGGAGACAGAAAAGAGGAAAAAAGGTGGGGAAAAGAAATTTCTAGAAAAGAAGGAAGAAATGGCCGGGAGTTTTTTTACCTCTGTTGCGGTGAACCTAGTTTCGAAATTCGGTGAGTACCTGTTTGCTCCCATTGGCCGTCAATTTGGGTACGTGCTATGCTACAAGAGCTACGTCAAAGATCTCAAAAATGGAGTCCAGGAGCTGGAGATTGCAAAGGAAAGGGTGCAATGCTCCGTCAATGAAGCCATGTATGATGGAAAACCTATACACACTGATGTTAAGGATTGGCTGGAGAGTGCGACCAAGGAGGTTGAGGAAGCACAACAACTGTTAGAACGTGGCAAAAACGCAAAGAACGCTTGCTTTCGCGGGTGGATTCCCAACCCCTTGGTGCGCCATCCGATAGGCAAAAAGGTGAAGGAGACAACTAAAGTCATTCAGGGACTCCATGGAAAAAGCAGAAATAGTAACTTCAAGAAGGTCTACTATGAGAATACTCCGGCAGGAATTGTCACTGCCGTCACTTCCGCTACAAGATCTGTTGACAAGAAAGAAGATGCCCTGGAGTCGAGGGTTTCAATCACTGAGGATGTAATGAAGGCTTTAGCTGATGACAAGGTCCATGCGATTGGGGTGTATGGACCAGGTGGAGTTGGCAAGTCCAAGCTTTTGGTGGACATCGAAAAGCGAGTTAAGGGAGAGAAGATGTTCAATGAGGTTGCCATGGTAGATGTATCACGCAAACCAGATCCAAAAAGAATCCAGGGAGAAATCGCTGACGCATTGGGCTTGAAGCTAATGAATGTGGAAACTGTTCGTGGGAGAGCAGATCATTTGCGTGAGAGGTTAGAGTGTGATCCTAAGAAAAACATTCTCATCATTTTAGATAATTTGTGGAAAAAGCTAGAGTTAAACGAAGTTGGAATCCCTTGCGGTGATGATAATAAAGTAAGAAGCTGCAAGCTATTGATAACGTCTAGATACCGAGATGTTTTGCGCATTGACATGGGCATTGACCGAGAATTCCGACTTAATGAGTTGGAGCATGGAGAAGCACGAAAACTTTTTGAAAGGACAGTGGAGGACAAAGTTAACGATCCTCATTTTAAACCCTTGGTGGATGGAGTGGTCAAGAAGTGTGGTGGCTTGCCTCTTTTGATTCTATCGGTGGCAAAAAGGTTGAAGCATGGAGATATGGCTGAATGGAGGAATGCTTTGACCAATATGGAATTATCGGATGCAAAATCAATAGTGGAACTAAATTACAATGACTTAGAAGATGAGAGGATCAAATCATTGTTCTTGGTTTCTGCTCTAGACTCTGGGAGAATTGTCATGAGGTGTTCCCTAGCATACTGCATGGGTTTAGGTTTATATAAAAAATTCAAGACCATAGAAGATGCTAGGGATAAGTTGATTATGGATCTACATAGACTGCAGGACTCTTCTTTGTTACTAGATAGTGATAACATGGAAGAGATCAAAATGCATGACATATTTGTTGACGAGGCCATCTCTATTGCTTCCACTCAATGGAATGCCTTGGTTGGGAGGGAGGATTATGGGTTTAAAGAATGGTCAAAGGATGATCTCCAAAAATGCACCGCAATGTCCTTCCCTTTTGTTGGCATTGATGAGCTTCCAAAAAAATTGGACTGTCCAAATTTAAGAATGCTTCTTTTATATGAAGACAACTCATCTCTCAAAATTTCCGAGTCATTTTTTGATTCTACGGAGGAGCTCCAAGTCTTGGACTTTACTCGTCTATCTTTCACGTCTCTACCTTCATCGATTGAGTTCCTTGAGAACCTCAAGTCGCTATATCTTGATTTCTGCCATCTGGAGGACGTGCGTGTTCTTGGAAAGCTGAAAAGATTGCAGTTCCTAAGCTTCCACGGATCTGCAATCGCTCGGCTACCCACGGAAATAGGTGGACTTACAGAATTGAGATTTTTGGACTTGACTGGGTGTAATGGGCTCGAGGTTATTGAACCTGGTGTGCTTGGAAGCTTGGTAAATTTAGAAGAACTGCATATGGAAGACAGTTTTGATCAGTGGGAGGCCGAGGATGAAGAACTACGAAGCAACACCAGCCTAGCTGAGTTGAAGAACATGAAAAGGTTGAGCACTTTGTCCATTGCCATTCCTCATTCTACCAATCTCTCAAGCGACCTACCATTTGGGAATCTAAACGAGCATAAAATCCGAATTGGGGCATTTGTGTTTTGGTGGGTTGAATACAAAGAATCCAGAACTTTAGAGCTTAGCCTGGATTCTGGCAATCTTCTTCGTGAAGTGTGTATGCAGGAATGTCTGGGGAGAACGCAAGATCTCTACTTGGATGGATTGCAAGATGGCAGAGATAGCATTCACAACTTGTGCACCAAAGGTTTTCAGGAATTGAAGCATCTTTTCGTAAAAAATAACCACTCATTTCAGTACGTTGTTGACTCCACACAGTGCCCTACATTTACGAGACTCGAATCATTGGTTCTAGTGAATTTGAACAACTTGGAGAAGATTTGTCACGATTGTCTTCCCCCAGAATCCTTCAGCAAATTAAAGATTGTGAGAGTGGACGAATGCGATGTAATAAAACATTTGTTTCCTTCGTCCATGGCACATATATTCCTGCAGCTAGAAGAGATTGAAATAACTAGATGCCACTTGATGCAACGAATTATCGGAGATGCCGAAGCAGATGAATACAGAGACGAAATTGATGATGATGCCAACGTGAAGTCATGCAAGATACGTAGGCTAACGTTACAAAACTTGCCAGAGATGCTGAGCTTCTATGAAACTGAGGACCACTCAGCCGTATTCTTGGATGGGCAACAGGTAAATTTCATGCTTTCTAAAAGAGTCATGTTCCCATTCATCCGGACCATCTTAATTGGAGGAAACCTTCTCTGACTAATCTGATGAGTTTGTTACAAACATGGATATTGCCTTCAACTAAATATGTTAATCATAGAAAAATACTTGTTTTAAGCATGCGTTAGTTCATTACTCAATTCGTGATACTCTCGATAACAAAATATGGGGAAAGATAGACAAAATAACGTGAATAAAGTTTCCCATTTTTATAGCCTTTTCCAATTTCCTCCATACCTTTCAAAGGTATCAGTTAAAGTCCCACACATTTTGCGGTCTTTAAAAAAATTTACTTATTGAAATATATACTTTGGAGATATAATGTATAGAAATTTTGTGTAATTTTAACAAAGTAATATGCATTTATCAACCAAACGGCAACAATAATTTAATAACATTTGTGTAGTTTAGTGTTTTGTGTTAAAAGGTATTGAGTTTATTCGAATTTGATTATTTAGATATTTGATTTATAAACACATTAAAGTATTGACTTTAGAATTATCCTCAATTTATTTTTTGTGGAAATGTGGCTCTAAACAAACTTCCATTATATGATTTTTTTATACTCTTACATGTTAATCGATGGACTATTATGTGACTACGAAATCAAAAATCAAATATAATGTCCAATAGGGCAATTTATTTTCGTTACCCCTGGTTGTAACATGGACCTTCTATTTTCATCAAATCTACCACAAATCTTCATTTTAACTACTTTTCTAATATTAATTGTAGAATTTATGTGCGCTGCACATGTTTAAATTTCTTTTTTTTTGTAATAAAACATTGCTTTAAAGTATTTATTAGAAATACATCTAGCATTTATTTGTTTGCTATTGCTTGGATTTAACAGTTTCTGTATTTTCGACCAAAAAAGAAAAACAGTTTCTGTAACTATTCTGTTAGTGTAGACAAAAATTTGGAAACCCTTTTTTAGATTATATTTTAGAGATTATATGGCTCCGAGGTATAAGCATGATGATAAAAAAAAAAAAAACAGTTTTTGTAATTTCGCAAAAGCATGATGCTCGGCTATAGCTCTTTTTCTTGGCTACATGACTAACTCTCCACATAAATTAATTTTTTTATGACGAGAAAGGGTATCTTAGGTTCTTATATAGGTAAAATTAAATCCATTGCTGAAATTAACTTTCATGCCCATATGGTGCTACTACGACCAGTTCATGGATCTGATGGCCGACCATGGATCTCAAATTGATGAACCCCTTTTTGACTTTGGTTTGATAAGTCATCCATTCCGCATTACAGATATACTAGAATTTTAGCCCATGTTATGCTCGGGGACAACAAATTTTTATGACTACTTCATAAATTTATAATTAATTTTTACTTTCAATCTTTTGATAAAGCATGGTTTTTTTTGGAATACTTTGAAGAAAAATGCCAGACTCAAATTACACCTTTTAATCAATTAAAAGTATAGTTTTTATATGTTTGTCAATTACAAGTCCTTTAAATAATGTTCGTTGTTATGTTTAATGTTGTTCTATGTCTTTTTTTTAACTTAATATTATAGTTCATGACGATTTGGTAGAAACTAGTTGAGATATTTTTTTTACATTGTCGTTTGAGATATTATGTAAGACCACAATCAATGACTAACAAGAATTAATTCAGTCTATGCCATTAATTTTCAAATTTTAGAAAGCACAAAATGTGAGGGTAAATTCAATAAGCTCAATAACTTAGGGATTATAACTTCCTCCTCTTGTCACATATATAGTATACTCCCAATACATAAAACGTAAATGATAAGTCAAGTGTAAAAGTTGATAAAATTTAAAGAAGAAAAAGGTAAAAGTCGAAATCACTACTCGGCCTTTTCTTCCATCATCTTCAAATCTATTATGTGCGATTATTTCCTTTATTATTTTCACTCGATTTGCGTGTTCATAATTTTTAGTTACAAGTATTGTGAAATTATGTGGGGTTATCCACTCCTCGCAACTAAAGGAAAATTGATGCATATGCCTTCATAACGTGATTCTCCTTGCTTTTTAAGGTTGCATTGCCCTGGTTGGAGTCCTTGACACTATCTGAACTTCCCAAATTGAAAGAGATATGGAACTCTCAATTTCCTTCAGATGTAAGGAACCTAAAATTTCTAAAGGTAGAGGATTGCGCATTCCTCTTGAGCATCTTCCGATCAAATTTGGTAATAAAGCTACAGAATTTGGAAGCCATAACCATTGAAAGATGTCAGTTACTAGGAAACGTATTCGACCTTGAAGGACTGACAACAAGTGGGGATGTCAAGATTCTATCGCAATTGACCACATTAACCTTGAGTGACTTACCAAGGTTGGGATACATATGGAACAAGAATCCAAGACTAGCGTTGTGTTTCCAAAACTTAAGGGTACTGAAGGTGCAAAACTGTGAGAACTTGAGGTTTCTTTTTTCTTCTTCCATGGCTAAAGCACTCCAGCAAATAAAAGAAATTAAAATAGCAAGTTGTAAACTATTGGAGGATATTATAGATGTGCAAGAAGAAGAACCAGAGGAAGCTGCATCCATCGACACTTTAGAGTTCCCTCTATTAACCTCCTTATCTCTTGAGGAATTGCCAAATCTCAGGACATTCTCTTATGGGAAGTACCGTATTCACTGTCCAACCTTAACAAGGCTGACGATAACTGGATGCCCCAGGATGATAACATTCTCTTCATTCGAAGGAAAGCAACAAACGGTAACAGCTGATACAAGTTTACAACAAGCATTTGGTGGTGTCAACTCTAGCTTGTCCTTGCCTATACTCTTCAATCAAAATGTGAGTAAATATCTATGGAGTTTTCTATTTTATGTTTATCGTAGAAATTATTCTTGGTAACTGTAGTCTTATCACCGATGAAGTAGTTGAAAACTCTATCTATCAGCTTGTCCTTTAAAGCCTCTTGCTACTCCATGCATCTATTGTTTTTCTATTACAATGGTATAAACTCGGGTAACCAACTTCATTCTTGAAAATATATTATAGAGCATATTATCATGGGTAACCAACTTCATCCAAATCAGGATATTTATAAGTTCATGTACGAGAAACTAACATATGGTCCTTTCATACAGGTTCTTTTTCCGAGCTTGGAAGAGTTGACCCTCGTGTCGTTGTGTGGGTTGATGAAGATATGGCACAATCAACTTTCTGAAGAATCATTCTGCAAACTAGCATCCATCACGGTCCGAGATTGTGAAAATTTGTCCTATATTTTTCCATCAACTTTCATAGAGAGGCTCCGGAGCCTGAAAAGGATTATGGTGGTCAAGTGTGCCTCTTTGGAAGCATTAATGGAGCATGTTGCTGTCAATACTAAGAAAAGGAAAAAACGTCTGGTCTTGTTGGACTTAAAAGAAGTGAAGTTGCGGGACCTACCGAGGCTGAATGCGTTTGTGACAAGCAGCGCCGAAGCAACATTGAGTCTTCCCAGTTTGACTTATGTTAGGTTGCGTTGTTGCCACAGTTTGAGATATCTCTTCACAAATGACACATCCACGACTCTTGATAAACTTGAGATGCTAGATGTTTTTGGTTGCAATAACATGCAGGAAGTAGTTGCCACGGAAGAAAGTGAAGAGCGAAAGTTGGAGGCGGTGAAGTTCTCTCATTTACGTACATTGCAGCTTTGTTCCCTTAAGAGCTTGATTAGTTTCAGCTCAGGAACTTGTGCATATGAGTTTCCCTCCCTTAGAAATCTCTCAATTTTGGAGTGCACTGAATTCAAGGCATTCATAATGAGGCTGCCAGCACCAAGAGTGGAGGCGATGAATGAGGGATCTTCCAGTTTTGATGAAAGTCCACATTCTTTATTTGACGAGAAGGTTTTCCTCTTTCCTTTATCTCAGCTGTATCGCTGCTCATGTGATTTGCTTTCTTCTTTGTGATGCTTTGGACACATAAGAAACTTTGCTTCGATGCTAGTCATTGTGACTTTAGCCAGGTGATGCGTATGCAGGTTGTATTTCCCAAATTAGAAGAGCTACATCTAACAGGAATTCAATCAAAAGGACTTTGGGAGAATGAGATGCCCGATGAGTCCATTTGCCAACTAAAGGTCCTTGAGGTGAAGCGGTGTCCCGACCTATTGAATGTCATTCCTTCACTCATGGGGAAGAGGCTGCTTCACTGTATGGAGTCCTTGACAGTTGAGGAGTGCCCACGTCTGAGAAACCTTTTTACAATGTCGACGGCAAAAAGTCTATTACAGCTCCAGTATCTTGGTCTAGGGGGTTGTGGAGAGATGGAGTACATTGTTGCTAGAGAAGAGGAGAAACCTGAAGAAGCAATTGACATAATTGTAATTCCTCAACTTGTCACTCTATATCTTCACAAAATGATAAAGCTCAGGAGTTTCTGCCATGGGAAGCATATTTCAGAGTGGCCCTCCTTGAAAGAGTTTACCGTTGAAGATTGTAAAGCTGTGGAGGTAATTCTAGGAGATGCCAATTGTGGAAGACTAGAGGGCAGCGTTCCAATGCAGCAACCGCTTTTGCTGGTCGATAAGGTTTGTGCGCATTCTTCTTTGATGGCATATTTAGTTTCTTGTCCCTGATGCTTTGAGCTAGACAATATAAGGGTCCATGGGGGTGACTTATGCTGGCTTATCATTTTCTTTTACAATTTTTTGACTTTAAATTAATTACAAACATATTAAAGCTATTTCTCTAAAATTAACATATTGACACGTATATCGAAACTTTTTCATAAATTTCCAAAACTTGATATATTTTTCTTTCACTCTCAAATTTTAGACTAATGTAATGTTTCATTAATACTGTGATTGAAATACATATATTACTTAGAGGCTAAGCTCTAGTTAACATCATTTAACTAGCCTAGAGTCTAGATGATACTAAAGAGGTTACCTCAAATTTAAATCTTTATTGATGTAAGATCAAGCGATAATGACATCACAAGTCCTAAAACTTGTGTGCACTTAATCTCTAAAACTCTTTTAACATGCATTTAAGTCGTAATAATTGTACTCTTTATGCACTTTTTCGGACTTGTTAAGTCTTTTGTTTTTTTGTAGATGGAAAATCTGCATTTTCATTTTCATCATATTTGCAGTCCTACGTGGCAATTAATGCAGTGATGGAGCTTCCTCAAGCACAAAAGGGTGTTGTTTTAATATTGCCACATTGGAAAAATATACAAAAAAATATACAAAAAAGAACAGAAAAAGGACTAAAAAATAGAAGAAATCCAACAGTAGTAAAACAGTGAATATGAAAACTGGATTAAAATAATCCTGCAAGACATCGCAAGTCAAGGGGGAGGGGCTAAATAGGGACCGACACTTCCCGCTGTCGAGAGCCTACAACCCTCACGAGGGTCACGGCGAGGGCGGTCGACCCTTCCAGGGCCACTGGCGAGGGCTATGGATGATCAATAGGAGAAATGGCAATTATGAATTTATTAAAATACAAAGGTGTTTATATAAATTCATCCAAATTAGTTAGTTCAATTTTAACCCACTCACTAAAAAATAAGTTTAATCACTTCAAGATTATTTAAGATTTTTGATGATCATAGTTACAGCAATTGTCGTAATAATCTTGTCAAAACTATTAAAATAACATGACTCATAATAATCGTAAATGTCATACAAATTAACATAATAATCTTAATAAACCTTTACACTTTTTTATACTAGATTTAATAAATATTGAAACAATATTAAAAGAGAATATTATACAAAACATGGAGTGGCTCCAAATCAGCAAGGATGGCGGATGAACTTTCAATGGGCATGAATGCTATTCACGAGCACATCGAATCAGAAATGCAAGTGTATCAACCAAAATAAGTACCATAGCATTGGCCTTCGGTCTAGAATCATCGCACAATGATAAGATTTAGTCAAAGAAAAATTCTAATACCAATTGGTGTTGAAGAGATCTAGCTCAGATACCAATTGATGACGAACAGATCTAGATCCGATAACAACTTATGTCAAACAAAAGCATGTAGAAAGTTAGGTTTAGATTTGTGAAAACCGGAGGAAAATCAGATAATTTGAAAGGATATCGAATAACTAAACTAAATAAAGAAACAAACCAGCTAGTGGTTGAAGAATCCCATCCTACCGTAGTCTATCATCTTTTGATTTAATTGTCGGATTTTTTCTTCGGTATCTGTCATGTTTTCTTGGAATCTAAAATTTGTCGAAGAAAATTTTGAAGTGGAAGATCCACGAGGCATTGGTTTGTGCTAATTGGCTTTTTTTTCGTCAAAACCTTACAACGCACAAACTATAATTTTAAATGGTTCAAAGAAATGGGAGAGTCTATTGGCTATTGTGTATGTGTGTGCTGCAATGAGCGAAATCTAAGACAGGCCAGATTGGTGGCTTTGGGTTATAGTACAACTCAAACATATTTCAATGGAGGTGTCTTTCGCTATCACAAAAAATTGGAAAAGCTTTTTACTAGGTGTATGATACATATGTTAGCAACCGATAATATAGAACGAAAGTGCATAGCAAGGGTGGTTCAGAATGATAAAAATTGAAGGGAAATCAGATGGCAAGAAAGGAGGGAAAAACTAGATAGAGTGAAGAAAGAGACAGAAATGCCAATTCAGGCGAGGAAGAAGAAACGCCAAATAGGCAAACTCATTAATCAATGAGTTCATCCTCAAAACTGAAGAAAAAATTAGTATCCTGGCCTATATTTATGGGTAATTAAAACAAGAGTTCAAACTAAGTAAGCATATCTAAATGAGAGAAATAGTATCTTATAACTAAACTCAATATATTTTGAAAAAAATAAAGACTAAACTCAATATATAAATAAATTAACTAAACAAATCAATCCGCGCCCCCACCCCAAGAAGAAGTCAAGTCCTTTCTCTGGTGGCTCTTCCTCTGAGTCAGAGAAAACAACTTTTGCCCTGCGAAAAATCTTTTCTACATGCAAAGCGCCTGACATAATGGTTGTTGCAAAATTCAAGAAATCTCCGCACCGAATAATCGCATAATCCACAAAAGTGAGATTTGGATATGCACCTTGGAAGTATAAGGTTATGGTAAGTATTTTAGACCAAATTTTAGCATCACGAATTTTTCACTTCTGTGAATGATCAATAGGAGAAATTACATTCCTGAATTTATTAAATTTCAGAAGGTGTTTAAATAAATTCATCCAGAATTAGTCAGTAGAATTGTACTCCACTCACTTCACTATTCTCATAACCAGAGTCCTTATTTAACTCTTCAAGACATTAATAGTACTTATTCATGCTGTTTGCTCACTCGCAAACTGATTTTGGACCGTTTTCTTATCTTCCTTACAGTTTTTTTAATAAAATCTATTCAATTCTTACCAAAATTGTTGAAATATTCTCTCAGATCATTAAAGTTTATTTAAACTCTTCAAGATTGTTAAGGATTTATAATATTCATAATCACGGCAATAGTCGTATTACTCCTTATAGTCAAAATTATTAGAATAACATAATAATTATAATAATAATTGCCATACCAATCGACGTAATGATCTTGATAACTCCTACTCTTTTCAAATTTCGGCATACCAGATCTAATAAATATTGCAACATTATTCAAAGAGAAAATTATACCAAACATTGAGTGGCTCCAAATCAGCAATAATGGTGACTGAAGTTTCAATAGGCATGAATCCCATATATCTTCATGAGCATATCAGCTCAGAAATGCAAGTATAGCAACTAAAATAAGTACCATGGCATGGGCCCTTGGTCTAGAATAGTTGCAAAACCATAAAACGTACTCAAAGCAAAGTTCTGATACCAATTAATTTTGAAGAAATCTAGCTCGAAGATCAATTGATGAAGAACAAATCTAGATCCGATACCAACTAATGTCGAATGAAAGCATGTAGAAAGTTAGGTTTAGATTCGTTGAAAGTGGAGGAAAATAAGATAATAAGAAAAGATGGAGAAACTAGAGAGAGATGAAAGAGATAAAAAAAGCCAATTCAGGTGGGGAAAAGATGTGTAAAATAGGCAAACTTAGTAATCAAATCGATTCAACATTAGATCTACAGAAAATTATTTTCTGCATCTATATTTATAGGCAACTTAAATAGGAGAGTTAAGCTATTAAGAGAAATAATTCAAGATCAATATCCTAAATCTTTGAAAATTTTGAATAACTCAACTAAAAAAAGAAACAAATCAGCTAGTGGTTGGAGAATCCCGTCCAACATCAATTGAACAGTACATACCTGCACTCTACCATCTTTTAATTTAATTGTTGGATTTCTTTGTCATGTATACTTGGAGTCTATACCAGATCAAAAAAAATACTTGGAGTCTATACATTGCGGAGGACATTTGGAGGGCAAGATCCATGAAGCATTGGTTTGTGTGAATTGGTTTTTGTTTTGTCGTTATCATACCTTATAATGCACAAGTTACATTTTTTAAATGGTTCAAAGAAATGGGAGAGTATGTTGGCTATTGTGTATGTGTTGTAATGGGCGGAATTTAACATAGACTAAATTTGAGGTTCATGGGAAACATATGAAGTGTGATATGATTATGCTCGTCTAACTAAGGTGGTTGTGGGTTACGCTACTGCTCAAACATAATGCTTGATATATTATATATTTATGCTTTCTACTTTAAAAAAAATATGAAAAGAGAATGGATTTTAGGGGATAGCATCTGCTAAAAAGAAAATAACATGCATCTATTTTTTTTTTCTTTCTGTTCTATCAATAATGTCTATCTTGTGATTTTCCTTGTTCTTGAAATCACAGTCTTCTCTTTTTCAAGGGGAATAGAGAGTTGGTTCTAATAAATTAATTTGAAAAATTACAGATTGAGTTCCCTAGTATGGAGTCGATGAAGATCTCGCACATGGATAATGTGGAAAAATTATGGCTGGATGAGCTTGCTTCAAATGCCTTTAGCAAACTCAAGACACTAATAGTGGAGTATTGTGAGAAACTTTCATCTATATTTTCATCTTATACCATCCTCACAAAATTTAAAAACCTAGAGAAGCTAAATGTGACCAATTGTGGGTCCTTAAAAGTGGTTTTTCACGTCCAAGATTACAATTTTAGTGAATGTCATTCTACAAGCACTTTTCAATTGAGAGAATTAGTTTTGACACGGCTCCCAAAAATGAAGCACGTGTGGAATGGACTTCCTAAAAGAGGTCTTACCTTTGGACACTTACGATGCATGAATGCAGTTGAGTGTGAGAGTCTCAAAAGTTTATTTCCAAGCTCGGTGGCAAAAAGTATGACACAGCTTGAGGTGCTTCAAGTATGGTCTTGTGGGGTGGAACAAATTATAATAGAGGAAGACGAAGTAGGCACAAGTGCAAGTAATCACTTCTTTTCACAATTGACCGACTTGAGCTTATATGAGTTACCGGAACTAAGGAGCTTTTATAGGAATAGTCATACTTCAACATGGCCACTCTTGAAGCAATTGCATGTGAGACACTGCGGCAAAATGAAGTCACTCTCATTTGCTTGTGAAATCCAAAGCTGCCAAGATACTGCTACCTGCGAAGACCCACCTGCACTCTTTTCTTTCGGAAAGGTACCTTACTTAATTCTAGCTCTCTGTCTTTGTCTTCATTGATTTATGTGGATAGCTCTCGGTCCTTTGTTATTTTCAATGGGAAATTGAAATTGTCAAATTTTTTATGCTTATTAATATTCATATAACCACACCTGTGAATTGCTTAGAAATTTGAATATTGATTGAAGTTATTTATTTCCATCTCATATTCTTTGGAATATAATCTAGTGATCCCTGCTCTTACGTTGAAAAAAGAAAGAACAATTTATTGGATTTACTTGCATACACAAATCATGCTTCTAATGAGCCGCTCGTGTCTTATCTAGTCCATCATGTTAGTGGCATGTCTTATGGCTGGATTTACCTATTTAATTTATGTTGACCTTCCTAGTCCGCTAAAATTCTTAAAAAATTGGTATTATGTTTATTTGGCATATAAACAGCTTAGCTACGGAACAAAGTTCCACGCTCGACAATGATTAGTAACCGTCAAGTATCGCGGGTAACTTGCTTATCCAGTCACGTGTTAGTAACTTATCAATAGGTTTTGTCAAATACCAACATTTATTTATCCTTCAAAAATTATTAACTATGTTAATAATCTACGAACATTTACTTTTGTGGCTTGCCAACGCTTTGAAAGTTACCAACTTTTATTCAAAATTACTAAACTTCATTTGATGGATGTAACAACATTCATCACATTAAGACAAACTACTTTTAATCACTTACCAAATTTTTATAATCTACTTACATTTGTTAATGCAATTACCAAACCCTTTAAAGTACTAATTTTAATTTGAAATTACCAATCTTAATATGACTGACGTACCAATTTTGTCACATTAATGTATCCGCTAACTTTAGTTACTTGCAAACTTTTTATCTTGTTATACTTTGAAATAAATTTATACTTTCAAAATTACCAACTTCTTTAACAATCCACCAACATTTATTCTTGTGGCTGACCATCGTACTTGAAATTACTAACTTCGTTTTAATTTACCGAACTTAATTTTGCTGATGTACTGACATTCGTCACATTAAGATACAAACTGATTTTAGCTACTTGCCAACTTTTTATCTTGTTAGGTTTTGAAAAGTGCCAACATTTTCAAGTATACAAACACCTTTCATAATCAACCAATATTTATTCTAATGAATAACCAATGCCCTTGAAATTACTAACTTTAATTTGAAATTACAAACCTTAATTTGATTGATGTACCGACATCGTTAAATTAATATACCAACTGATTTTAGTCGCTAAGCAACTTTTTATCTTGCAGATTTTGAAAAGTACTAATGTTTCATTATAATTTCAAGCTCAACAACTAATATAATAATCTACTAACGTTTATTTCAGTGACTTACCTATGCTTTGAAGTTACTAACATTTATTTGAAATTACCAACCTTAATTTGATAGGTATATCAGTGATATACCAACACAGAATTAGGTTCCGTTTTTTACCCCACGGAATACTACAAACATCAGTTTATTTGGGGTTATGTACTTTTAGTTTGTTTTCTTAGCTTATTTGACATTTCATTTATCTATTGTAAGCATGACCAAATTGTCTTAATTATTTATTCTTTTTCCATCAAAATTTTGAAACATAATCTATATCTTGTTTTATCACTTTTTCGCCCATATCCCATAAATAAAAATTTTGCCAATCATTAGTTTAGTTTGAATGCATTCTTGTCAAAAGTCATAGAAGGGTGAAGCCCATGCGCTACTCATGATCTATAGTAAAATAGATATGAGAACTGCACCTTAGAAAATAGAGTGCAACAAAATAATACATCATCTTACTAATGAAACGCATCTACTTATTATAAAAGTAACATGATTTTGTAAAACAAATGAGTTTTGTTTTAAGTTTTTTCTATGAACTTGTTGAAATTCATATGTTTATTTTACCTTTTGGATTTAATTAGTTGACAATTGAAATAGCTGAAGTATCATTTACTAATAACTTTTTATATCCGAATTCACGGAACATATTGTAATTGAACTGGGCACACCGCTAACAACATACCTTGTATAATGGTCATCAATGCTTGATCGTCTGGCTCCAGAAAGATGTTTTGTTTTCTTTTTTAATAAAAGGGGCGAAATGCCTACCGGTTCTTTTTTCAATAAATGGAAGCAGACTTTAATTATTCCCCCGCCCCGCCCCGCCCCGCCCCGCCCCGTATTTACTTTTGGTGGCCTAATTAAACGGAATCCCACAGGTCATACCACACTTGGAGAGATTGACATTAACGGGGGAGGATGTTGCGAAGACCTCGCCGCATTACATCTTTGGCAATCTCATAGGGCTGGTTTTGGCATGCTACCATGATGAAGATGTCGCTTTTCCCTCCGACTTCCTTCTCCAGAGATTCCCCAATCTAGAAGAGCTTATTGTGGTGTGTAGTTCCTTCGAGGAGATATTTCCAGAAGATGCATCTAGAAATGGGGGAGCCACTCGCTATGGAGGACTTACTGACTTGCAAAAACCTCTCAATGCACTTGGAAATCTGAGGCGACTTAACTTGTTCAAGCTGTGTAACCTGAGGCGAGTCTGGAAAGATGGCTCCTTGATGGCTAAAATCCTCAAACAGATTGAATATGTGTGTGTTGCAGAATGCCCGAGTTTATCAATCGTACTTCCATCCCCGACTTCATTCCAGAGATTGACGTATTTAGGAGTACAGGTTTGCGCTGGTTTAGTTCATTTGGGGACTTGCTCAGCAGTGACAAGTCTGGTGCACCTTACTCGGCTAACCCTAAGAAATTGTGGTGTAATGGAAGACGTGGTAACAGATGATGGAAATGGAGTAGAGGAGATCTCTTTCCCCAAGCTGCGAGATTTGATACTTGACGGTTTACCAAGCCTTCAGAGCTTCTCCCCCATGAATTGCGTCTTCAGGTTCCCATCATTGGTGCGTATCGTCGTCACGCAGTGCCCCAAGATGAATATATTTTGCAAGGGTGCCTTGAGGACACCAAACCTCCATAAAGTACTCCTCTCTTCCAAAGATGATGAAGGGCGTTGGGAGGGCAACCTTAATATCACCATCCAAAACTTATCGACATGAAACGAATCCACACGGATTACAGTAAGTCAGGTAAATCTGTGTGCCTAATCATGTCTGCCCGAACCCGATGTCCGAAGAAAGAACACTTGCGTTCCCTTCGAGTTCTACATTGGCTCATATTTATAATGAAGTAGGTCTTTCTGGATTATAAAGGAATCGTAACATTATTCGATTATTAGGGCCTTTTGAGCACTTATTCACTAATGCATTCTAGCTGTTTGATTAATTGCTTAGCATAACCTCTATCAGTGCAGCTTCGAAGATTGTGAGGTTTTTATTATACGGAGCTGTGTGCTTGCCCAGTTCTCTGGTTAATCTTGAGGAGTGTTGGTAATTAGACATGTCTTATTGACAATGTTTGTTTCTTTCAAGTGTCATGCTTGCTACGATCAAAGTAGCCGCTGCTTTTATTTGCTAGAAAGTGTCTCCTACAGTAAGATGTTGAAGCAAGCTTTCTGCAACCTGTGCTCTAATAGTGTTCTAGTGCATGGTGTTGATGCCTCTCAACATGGCTTCTTTGTGCCAATGCGAGGTATTCACAGTGAGCAGGTGCTTCATTGAATATCTCACTCTTTTTCTAGTTTGGGATGTCCTCTCTGTCATTTTGTTGATAATGGTATTGGTGTGGCATAATGGTTGAGCAAATAATTTAATGAACATGGGGGTGCTCTATCCTTTATTGAACTGTATAGAGATTTTGTATGAGTGTTGGCGTTTAGGTGACCCCGTTTAGTGGGTAAGACTTAATTTTCCGTCATAGTTTTCTATCGGGTATTAGATGGCACATCTCCCAGGCCTTCCATGTACTAATATAGTGCCAGTTTGTAAGTTTGATACTTGTTTCATTTGTCTCAACAGCCTCATATAGCACCAAGAAGTTTCTTGGGAGTTGAAGACTATTTGGATGATGATAATAGCCAGCCATACACTCATCAAAAGGGGAAGAAGTCCAGGAATCCAAATAAGCAAGTGTCCTTCAAACAGGGCACCATAGCCTATATGGAGCTGATCACGCTAGATGGTTGCATCTCCAAGCTCTTCGTCTCAACTTCACTCACTCACAGAGTCTTGTGCAAGCAGTTCGCTGTTGCGGGTACCAAATCTAAGGACATCAAAGCCATACTCAAGTCATGATCGGACATGCAGGCACGTCTGGCTGTAGGTGTCACGCCCCGCACCCTACGAGCGCGTGATCATCCCGCGATGGTCGATCATTGAACGCGACGTCCCAGGACGCGTCGCCGACCCAAATGAAACACCCAACAATAAAAGCAAGCGGAAGCGAAACTAATTAACCCAGACAATAAACAACGACAAAGGGATAGTGCGAAACAATAATTGCATACCATCATAAAATAGTCACTATACAAAACGATAACTCAGACTACCAATTTAGAACCACGGTTTTCAAAAGGGGCGGTGGTTGACAAACTTATCTCCTCTACAAAAGGTACTCAAAAGACAGGGTAAATGATCTATTCTTCAATCCTTGTGTGTGCTGCGCGGCGTCTCCGAATCGATTACGGTCGCGGATCTGAAATGGTTATATAATAACCGTGAGAACGAGTCTCAATAAGCAACCCCCTAAACCCCACGTAGGCCAATGCGTACCCAGACAAGTCGTACATGCAATCTACCCCACAACATATAAAATTAGCATAATTGTACTTACCTCGTCATCAAGTCCATGCCAACTCTACACGTTAGTCGTCACGTGATAAGGCAATAATATTAATTAAATAACACATCACAAGTCGCTCAAACACCAACCACGCTTTCACTCAATCACTCCAACTAATTCAACCAGTCAATTCAATCACACTCAATTCGCATGCGTGGCCGAGCAACTTTCTCACGACCTCCCGGGTCCTTTCACACGGCCGCGTCAACACGCCTCGGGCCGGCCTCGATCAAGCCGGGCTCGGTCCGCGTAACCACGCCTCAGGACATTTCTCTCGACCCGCGTAACCACGCCTCGGGTCCTTACTTGCCTTTCTAGCCACACCCGCGTAACCACGCCTCAGGTTGGCAGCCCTCAGATCAAGCCGGGCTCAGTCCCGCGTAACCACGCCTCAGGACATTTCTCTCGACCCGCGTAACCACGCCTCAGGTCCTTACTTGCATTTCTAGCCACACCCGCGTAACCACGCCTCAGGTTGGCAGCCCTCAGATCAAGCCGGGCTTCGTCCCTCACTGGACATTTCACACTTTCCCACGACCCGCGCTACTGCGCCTCAGGTCAGCCCTCAGATCAAGCCGGGCTTTTCTCATGCACATGCACCACAATACAAAATTCACCATGCTCTTAGTCATATAAATCAATTTCAATCACCGCCCATTCACCAATGTTAATCTAGCACGCCACATCAGTCAACTCAATTCATGCTCCCGACATCGGTCCACCGACCCGACATTCAAGTCAACACATTCAATAAATTCCAATTCACCCACAAGCGCCACGACAATTCAGTCATGCTATTTTACCTCGATCAATCACTAAATTAGCCACACAATTATCACCACAATAATTCATCAATTAGGCACACTCAATCTAATTAGCCCATGCCTAAATTAATTCCTAACCCGGTACTAATCACATCCTAAACAAGTCTAAAAATACCCAAAGTACTAGGTAGGATTTAGGAAGTCACTTACCTAAGTTTGGCCGGGAAAAGTCGGCTCGGGCCCAAAATGGCCCGGGTGAACGATCTCGGGCCAGGCGCGGGGCACGGGCCAACGGGCGCGGTGGCCGGCCAAGGCGGGCACAATGGCCGATCGGCGTGCACAGCGCGCGGCGCGATGGCCGAACGGCGTGCCAAGGCGCACGGGCGAACGGACGGGCGACGCGCCTAGTCGGATGGGCAACGCGCCAGTCGGATGGGCACGGCGCCGGCGAGCTCGGCCACGGCGCTCGGCCACGGGCACGGCCCTCGGCCACGGGCACACGCACGGGCACGGGCGCGGAACGGGCACGGCGGCGAGGCGCGCGGCTTGGTCGCGTGGGCGACGAGCCGGCTACGGCTGGGGCTGGGCCGGTCGGGCGGCGGCCGCGCGGCAGCGCGCGGCGGCGGCCGGCGGCGGCGGCGGCAGCGGCGGCGACAGGCGAGCGAGGGGAGAAAGAGAGTGAGCGGGGGGTGAGGGTGAGGGAGAGAGAGAGGGATCGGGGCGAGGAGAGATGGCGGGCCGGCGGTGAGTGGCCGGCGGTAGCGATGGAGGAGCCGGCCCGTGCAGCAGCTGCAGCAAGGGGCAGGCAGGCGGCAGCGGCGGCTCGCGGCGCGGCGGTGGGCGGCACGGAACGGACGAGCTCGAGATCGGCGAGCTCCCAGTGCGCGAACAAACGAGCGGCGAAGCGGCACGGGAGCTCCGCCGGCGGCAGGCGGGCGAGCGAGGCGGAGCAAGGCGGCCGAGGCGGCGGCGACGGGCCGAGATGGGTAGTGGCGGCGAGCCGAGCTCGCGCGCTTGGGAAGGAAGGGAGGCAGCGTCGGGCGGGGCTTCCGGGCGACGCGGCGGCGCGGCGACGGCGCGAGGAAGACGGCGGCGGCGCTCGGCGGTCAAGCGGGCTCGGGCGGTGGTTGGCTGGGCGAGCAGGAGCGGGGCGAAGCAGAACCAGACGCCGGCAAAGAACAAAGAAAGAAGAAGAAAGGAGAAGAAGGAAGAGAGAAGGGAGGAGAGAGAGAGAGGGGGACAGTGCGCTTTCATGCGGGAACACGGGGAGGGGCGTGGTGAGAGAGGGACGTGCGCGAGAGAGAGAGAGAGAGGACAGACGGAACAGAGGGAAACGTGAGCGGGAAAAGAGGAGGAAAGAGGGAGAGAGAGAGAGAGAGACGTGCGCAGGAGGGGGCGTTGCACGGGAGTGGGTGGCGCGGCGCAGAGGAGAAAGGAGAGAGAGAGAAAGAAAAAGCAAATATTTATCCTCGAGCGCGAACCAACGGACACGGTTCAAACTAAATATTATTCTAACTGTCGCGATTCAAACCAGGAAAAAGATCTAACTGTCCCCGAAAAAATCCCAAACAATAATATAAGACAACGGGCCAAAATAAAATAACTCGAAACACACTACGAGGGAGGTCTACCAGTCCAAATTCGCACCCGGTCCAAAAATCCACTTTCTCACTATTCCTAATCACCTCGACGCTGGCCACAATAATATCGACACCGTCCAATTTATTTCGTCCCGAAACTCTCGAAAATCGACTGCCAAGGTCAGGGTCTAAATAACGGCCAAATTCGATCGAATGCGATTCTAGCGAAATCTCAAGATTTAAAAATAATAACCGGGAGTGATCAGTTCCCGGGCGAGATTTTTACTATAAGCGCACTGACGAAATACCCGTTCTATAAATCCCAAAAATGGGTCAAAATCCGGAATGTCACAACTCTTCCCCCCTTACAAAAATTTCGTCCTCGAAATTTACAATTCAACCCAACTATTCAAACAAATGAGGGTACTGGTGTCGCATCAACTCTTCACTTTCCCACGTCGCACCTTCAGTTCCATGGTGCTCCCAAATCACCTTGACCATCGGAATTTTCTTGTTCCGCAGCACTCTTTCTATTCTGCCTTCGATCCGAACTGGCTTTTCCACATACGACACTCTGTCGTCCATGTCTATCTCTTCGTAGTTCAGCACGTGGGTCGGGTCCGGTTCATACTTTCTTAACATTGACACGTGGAATACGTTG